TAACACAAAAAATGATACCAGACCCACACTCACAAAAACCACACAGGATGTCACCACCAAACATCCACGCAAAAAACAAACCCAAAGCCACACTGACTATGAGGCACGACCACAAACCAGAAGCCAGACCACAGCTGCATCATTAGCCACTTTAAACCCCCCCAATCCATACATGAAGCAAACTGACACCCTCCATGAAGAGGAAGCACGACCACGAACACGAAGCCAAGGAATGGCAGGGCAGCCCAAAATCTTGAATCCCTCTGCAACTCAGACTAACCTGAGCACAACCAAACAGAACACTCCCCCAGCCAATCAGAGCACAGCCAACCCCCCAGCCAATCAGAGCACAGCCAAGCCCCTAACCAATCAGAACACACCTCCACCCAATCAGAACACAGCCAAGCTCCCACCCAATCAGTTCATACCTCCACTGGCAGTTAAAAGGAAGAAACAGCCAAGACCACACACTGCTGCTCGAGGCACGAAGCTGAAAGCACCAGCCTGAAGATGACGAATGGGACTTCGTCGAAACGTCGCCAAGACACTTCCAATTTTACGTGGGAGAAAACCCGAACAACCAAAGACCTACATATATATATATATATATATATATATATATATATATATATATATATATATATATATATATATATATATTTGGACTAAAAAATTCATTAGAATTTATTTTCAGGAGATGTCTTATATACAGCAAGCGGTGAGCACATGGGGGCAGGACAGGACAATATTCGGTACAAACAGCGGGGTGTGGCCTGCTCATGGGATAGAGACATAAAGCTTCAAAGTGCAGTGGCAATTGGGTCAACCTCAGAGCATAGAGGTAGACCAACTATCGGAATGAGAGTGTTCAGGTGGGGGTCACATGTGCCCTTCCCAAGCCAGGCCAGGCCCTGCAGCCCTGGGGCAGCCATGCTGGGTAGTGCCAGGAAAGGCACCAAGGAGGGCTCAGCCTGGCCAATGTTCCTCCTGGAGGAGCAAGGGGCCTTTGCCCCAGGGATGCTGGGGGGCTGCCTTCCTGGCCACCCTGCCCAAGAGGTGAACAGGGAAGTGGTAGCCCAGGGCCAAAGCGCCAGCATAGCTTCAGAGGATGGGAAGCGTGCTAAAGTGAGCAGGTGTCCTGCCTGCAGCGCCCATGCTGGCTGCCCCTTCCCTGCTGCATTTCTGTAGATGCAGACCTTCCAACTTCACGAGATTTTTTTTTTCACAAGAAGTTGGAAGGTCTTATTGAACTTTTTTTTAATCCTACAAACTTTTGTTTCCCTGCATGTGGCAATGGAAAAATGTGATGGAGAAACACGATGGAGCTGGAAATCAAGTTACCAAAGAAATGCTTGGGGGTAACAAGGGCATCTGGGCAATGGTGTGGCAAGCTCTCCAGCTCGGCGGTGGCTGAGAAATGCAATGGAGCTAGAAAGCAGGGGCAAAGCAAACCCCTCCAAGGCACCAGGCACTGAAATGGGCCAGTCTCTCTCCAGCAGCTGGCGAGGCCCGCCAGATGGAAGGTTGGCATCTACTGAAACATGGTGTCATTTCGGCTCTGCAGGATAGGAGTGGCTGGCATGGGCAGGAGCTCCACCTGCCACTTTGGTGGCTGTGTGGGCAGAGCTGTGAAGTGGGCCAGGTGGCTGAAACCACCAGCCCAGGGATGATGCAGAACTGCAGACCTCCACAGCTACTTCCATTGAAATGGCTAACAGGGACCAGGTAGTGCAAAGTGGTACCATAGGATCAAAGTGGCAGGTGGAGGAGAAAGGAGGTGACCACCATTGGGCAGGTGATCTGCGGGATGGGACAGGGGTGGTGGGGACCAAAGAAAGCCCCTCCAGTGGCAGATGCAGCTAATGTACAGCAGTGGTAGAGACCTTTCACCATCACTCCCCCCTGGCTCCAAAACAGTAGAGGGGGACCGGATAAGGGGACTGAGCCTCCCCCATCCATCCTCCATAGCACTGCACTCTGGCTCAGAAGGGCAGTGAAAGGGAAGAGGCAGGCGGGTGGGCAGGATATTAACTAGGGCTTATTTGTGGATTAGGGCTTATATTAGACCCACCCCTGGCACTTTAAAATCCATTTTCAGATCCACATTTTTTTCAATATCCCTATCATTTTTAAATCCAAATCCTTTTTTAAATCAGTCTCAGTCTCTGATTTATCCAATAAAATCTGTTGTTTTTCTATATTCTCCGTTATAGTATCACCCAATCTTGTAAATAATTAAGCCTTGTTCCCAGTCTTAATTTCGTCTGTATTCAAATAGTGTTGCTCCATTAATAGGTCTATTTTCCTTTAAAAGTAATCCTTCCTTTTCTCTAGGTTCCCTGTAGCCAGCCTTCAAGTCTACTCTTTACAATTAATTTCAAAGATTTTCCTGCACCCTACAAGAAATACTCTTTCAAATACATCTAGCCTCTTAACTTTCCAAAATCAATTTTTTTGTCCCCTATTTTCTGTTGTTCAAAAAGATAAAGCTTCTCTTGTTAATCTTTAAACTTACTTAGAGCTTCTTTTATATAGGGTAAGAGGAAACTCTCCCAATGCAATATAACTTGACTTCTGGAAATTTCTTAAATCCAAAGAAATAAGTAATAAGCAACTTATTTATAAATTATAATAAAAGGGGAAGGAAACAAACTCAGTATTTCTTTGAAATTTCCGAGCATACGAAATGAATGTTCCCCAGCCCCTGAAACTCTCAAACCTTCTGTGGAATGCTATTTTGTGATTTCTTCACAGAGAATCTGTATGGAGCGGAACATGGCAATCCTTGACTTCTCCATAATCCACAAAGGAATTCTAGATCCTCATATTTTAATCAACTCTGTAAGTCATGCTCAGTCTACTATACTGCCCTAGAAGCCAGGCTGTTTTTTCTAAAGAAGAACCCAGTTTCCCGCTGATGGATAAACTACAATCAATATCTAATGTCATGGAGACCAACCATAACAAATTATGTTCTTAAATGGCTATTATTTATAGAGATACTGGAACATTCGATCAGAACATTACCACATTGGATTGCAACATGAAATTATTATAAGTTGATATGAAAACAATGCAGATATAATTTAGCAAGTTTCAAAGAGAGTGGGAGAATTTGAAAATGTGATTGATTGTTCCCTAGGCTAAAGGTTGCTGAAAATACAATTCAAAAGCAAGTATATATATTGCTCAGGTTACAATGGCAACTGAGACTGAAACTACTATTGCTAAGTGATGCAATATAAAACATGATGTCATACGATAACATCACCAGCACAATTTCCAACAGACCTGATTGCCGTAATCACAAGACACATGGGTTATTAAGCAGGTAGTAGTGGGATTCCCAGGTAAGGAGCACAGGAGTATCATGAGGGAGTGTTATGGGGGAGGGGAGGCTCTGTTAAGCTGATGTCAGCCCTGCAAGGAATGCAAACTATGAATACTACCACCACCTTAATTGTAAAATTACAGCAACATATCTTCCAAGATAATTGGTGTCAACTGCAAACAGGATGTCAATTTGAAAAATGAGCATGGCTGTAGCCATTTTCTTTATTCACTTTCGGTTGACATTTAGAAAGGAAGGAGGGGGGATTGCCAGGTGCTTCGTTGGTCTAAATAAACTTTTATCCCATGGAAACCAAGGTCAACGGCTGCTCCTGAGACTGCAGGCTAGGCATTTCATGAAAAGCCCACCAAGAAGATGTATTGGGGAACATAGTTGCTTGCATAGCTTTAGGGCTGGGATTTCTTAACTTTGTATTGGGGAATGGTTACATGTGTCTTCAGACTTGGTTTCACTTTTGATGTGCCGATACTTTGTAACTAATAAACATGTTCTATGAGGAATTTCCAAGCCTCGGAGTCCTGCTTTATTTGTCTCTGTCTGTCGGACCCATGACACAGGAAATCAGTGGCATTACCTCAAAATTTGTCCCTACAGAATTTTTTTAAAAAGGACAAATAATTGTAAAAGATTAAAGATTTGTCTAAAGAGAAAGCAGAGTTTAAGAACGAAATCTTTGTGATGCACTAATAATAAAGATGCACTTGCATTGGAAGGGCAGTTAGACATATGATAAATGAATAAAATAAATAAAATTGCACAATGTGACAAAGGCATGAGAAAAGACAATGCCTACTGATTGCTGTAATAAACGTTCTAAAAGACACTTTTAATGTAATTATCCTAGTGGCCACACAAGAAACCTAATAAACCATGTAATAATAAAACATATATTAACACAAGGGGAAATGTATATTAAATTATAAAATTTGAAGAAAAGTCCTTCATTAAGGAAAAATAAAGGAACAAGGGTTACTGGAGTGTACCCAGACATTAAAGCTAATGCAGGAAATTAGCAGAAAGTATGCATGCTTGTAGTGTTTATGTATGTTTCATGCCAAAAACTCTTTAGTACTCCAGAATATTCTTACATGGCTCTGCAGAAAGATTGTTATTGCTATGTATGATACAGAAAAACTATATAGAAGCAAGAGTTGAATTAATTTTTGGGGATTCTATCTTCCTCTTTCTGGCAGCTTGATGTACAAAATTAGATCATAATAACACTAACAGGAAAACACATGATGTTCACCTCCATCTATGTTCTACTATTTTCTTTTTAAAAAAAGAGATATTATAAAATGATTACAAGTACCTAATGCTTAAAATATTCTGAAAAATTCAACAGTTTTCATGTATGTGCTTTCTGCATATAGATTAATCTGAAAAAATTGCATAATTCCTAATCTTTCATTAATGCTTTGCAATGTTTCAGTAATACATGTATAAACCTATGTATAGAAACAGTGGCACTTGTCCTTATAAGATTATATCTAGCTAATATGAAATGGACTCCAGAAGATGGTAGAGGACAGGAAGGCCTGGAGGAACATTGTCCATGGGGTCACGATGGGTTGGATGCGACTACGCAACTAACAACAAGCTAATATGACAACTAAAATCTTTTTTTTCCAAAGTCTTTGATAATTACCTTAAATTCAGCTGTGTCCTTCATTTTGAATTCTGGAGTAACTTGCAAACTTTTCTGTTTAGTATTTGGCACACGTTCTTCCATATTAAGTTGAGGAGGTATAGTAATTTCTTCTCTAAGGCTTTTTGAGTCTGGTGGAAGCATTTCTACATGTTTATCTAAAATCACTGGCAATATTTTTTCCTCATCTTTTGCAGAATCAGGCAATTGCTGCTTTTCTTCTATAGATATGTCTTTCCCTGCGCTTTAAGTATAATAAAAAGCAATTATTTCCTAGGAAAGATTATAGCCAGCAGTCTTGAATTCCTTCAGTTAGTTCCCAAAGTTCGTAGCTGCAGAGAGCACAGGAGTCAATCAGAACTTCTACAACAGATATTTTATCGCTTTCAAAGCACTAATATTTTGTGCCACAAAGGATGAAAGTTAGTGTTGGTAGTTGCAATGAAAGGGAGGTTTTTTTTACGGATTTTATCAATTTAAATGTCTCCAATGAAAGCAATGGCGCAAAGTGAAGTTTCCCCTGAGAAGACTAAAGCTAAAGCAGTTTTGATTTAACAGAGCTAATGCAAACATCTACACATAACACCCCATTTAAGCTCCTTCATTTCGTTACCACCAGTTTTGTTACTTTTTGCATGTGAAGTTCTCAGTGGATGCAGGAGAACATTAACAGTAGTACAGTCTTATTCAGCTGCCAATGCTCCTCTCAGGTACAAGAAGGTTCCTCCAAAAGATCACAGACCCCTCCAGCAATCAATAATGAGAAGAAGGTTAAGATTGTTCATTAGGCAAAGAGCAAGCTAAAATTCTTAATTATTGAAATTATTTAACAAAATTGTGTCAAATATTTCTGCATGCATTTATATTGTGTTAATTGAAAGTGAAAAACAACATACTGCACTGTTTTTAATTGTCATGTGTGTATAAGTACTATATTTTCCTTTTTTATAATGCATAATTGAAAGAGAGAGAATTTAACCTGTTCATATACAAATATAGAAATATACCCCAAAGGAATAATATGAAAAACCTTATTCTACAGTTAACAATGAAATTTGAATGTAATATAACTGTCTCCATTTATTCCTTTGCAGGCATAATGGTATTTATGTTATATATCATCTAATTTCAACACTTGAGTAATCCTTTATGTGATAACTACCCAATCACTACACAATAGGTAGGTAGGTAGGTAGGTAGGTAGGTAGGTAGGTAGGTAGGTAGGTAGGTAGGTAGGTAGGTAGGCAGGCAGGCAGGCAGGCAGATAAATAAATAGACAGAATGTATATGTATATGTACTGTATATGTATGTAACTGTTTGAGCAGTTTGTTCCTGATTTTAAATGAATTGATTTATAGTTTAGAAGTTTAGTTTAAATATACTTCTCTTGTTTTCTGCAATCATTTTCCAAAAATAATGTTGTATTTCAAACTTTTTCTAACTTTATACAAATCCCAAATCCGACTTAAAAATCCATTTCTCATTTCCTGCCATCATGAAACAAAGATAAAGAAAGAAGATCTAACACTGTGTAAGAGGCAAAATAACTTGGTATTGCATAATTTTAGAATCTTTTAGAAGTGTAAGCCACCCAGAGTAACTTGGTTGAATGGGGGAACTACAGAAATTGACTGATTGATTTTGAATGAATGAATAATGAATGAATGAATGAATGCATAAATACATACACATATACATACATATTTCCCTATATATCTGAAGTGAGAAAAAGGAAATTAATCAATCTCCTTTAAAAATGTTAGACTAAATATAAAAAGACATATTTTAATTCTTTATTATGTATCTATATGTGCCTAACATTCTTAATTTTGGCTGGATTAGGCCAAAATAATGTTAATCAGATTTTAAAGAACATAATTGGATAATAGTGTAACAATAGTAATTTCAAATGATTAACAAAAATATGATTAAATGGGGAATAACTTACCCTTAGCAGCCAAAGCTCTAATCACCCTTCTTAAAACTAATGGAGTCTTTGTACTAAATAGTAAATTTTTAAAATGCAAAGAGTGAAGTACTTTTTAGATCAGCTTTTAAAGAAACTTCCAGGACATATTTCTATTATTTCTTAGCAGAAACACAGCATATATTAATTATTCCCTTGTCAAACTGAAGTAAGACCAACATAAGAGAAAAATATCAGAGACAGGACTCCCCTACCTCTTTGCTGCCCTCTGAAGCTACTACTACATCCCAAGTATGTTTGGTGAACCTCCATGAATCATAGTATTTAAAATGCTTAAATCAGTTCAGAAATTATCTAAATTTAATTGTTCCAATCCTTACTATGGAGGATTCTTTTTCCTCCTATACACAAACACGCATACAAGAAAGACTGATTCTTCCCTGCCAATCTGCTAGGACTGTGCTGCCAAATCAATATGCTAGTTTTAGATGTTATTCACTATAATTTTAAATATTTTATATCAGAGCCATTTTGAAAATGTAATTCAACCAAAGCAGCCAATATATATTTAAATGTATTATGAATGAATAAAGCCTAAAAAAAGAACAAAAATGCAAACAATCTTTTTTCAAAACAAAAGTTTTCTAACAGTGTTTCAGTAATGTCTAATAAAACTGCAGAAGATATTGGAGCTCAAAACATCTTATTTATTCATCAGCAAGACTCGGCATCCTTGTATTGGTTTTATTTCATTCCTCGTGGAAGTTTGGAAATCATTCTTCAAAGATTTTCAGGAATTCTTTTAGGACCTAAAGAGCAATCCGGGATTAATTTTAATAGATTATTCTGATGTGTTATTAACAATTATAATTGTGCTTAAACAAATTGGGATGGAATATCTCTCCAAGAAATACCATTTATAGAAAAATTGTTTCATTTTCTTGTATAATGAGATCTACCATAAAATCTTTCCTTGTTTTGATTGACAAGACATTCCTATTAGGGAATACTCTAAATATCAACTGAAGTCCCATAGTTAAGATTACACAATATCCCCAAACTGAAATAGTAGCTCATAGGGTTACACAAGTTTACTTAGTGAAAAATCAAGGGGATATTTTCCCAGGCTCCCAAGATCTTGCCTCAGAATATTTTAAATTGAGCTTTTATTGTTCTATAGTTGGGGCCTGAAAGTAAGTATCTCTTTATATGTCTTCAAGCCAATCTTGATTCTTGGCAACATATAGTATTTCAAAAGAAGTTTGCAGTTGCCTTCTTTGTAAGGCAAGCAAGAGAGAGCAACTGAATCCAAGTCATCTAGCTGGCTTCATGCCTAAGGCACGACTAAAATGGATAGAACACCTAGTTTCAAGCCCAGTGACTTCAATCATTACATCAAGTTTGCTCTTGGACATCATATAGCTTCCTTATATCATATAAGAAACATGAAACCACAAAACACATTTTTTCTTTTTCAGAATAAGTTTTTATATAAGATCTGGCAATTTAATTAATTCTTTTATTTTCTTATTTTATTTAATGTTTTAGTTCCTTCAATCAATATTTTCCAGCATATCAGAAGCTATAGTTTCAGACTCTATTTTTAAATTTTAATTTACAATAATGTACTTCTGTATTTCTGGAAAGTTCCATAAGCATGCCAAAATGCTACCTGATTTTTCAGCAGTGATTTTTCATTTCCAGAGGATTATAGACAGATACAGTTTGGTATAGAAAAAAAATGGTAAATGTGACCAGAAAAAAATAGTGAAATAAGTTGTTCTATAGATAAGAAATCATAATGTCACTCTGAAGAATGTTCAATTTCATTCACATTCATCCATCAAAAGACACTATGGACATTGGTTCTTTTCAACTTCACCAAGAAATCAACATAGCAATCCACATTTCTCCCCCAAACATCTTAATCTGTATCAGATTGAATAGTTGGTTGTATATTAACGTCCTTCAATTATGCTATCAATTAAGTTGCAGATATAGGCAATGTTATTAACAAATGTTTTATAAACAAGTTACAATGTTCATAAGATATTCCCTCTATTCAACATAAAAGGTTGTGCATGCCAAGCATGATATCACTTAAAACAACTCCATTGAACAGCCACGTTCTTAATTATTTCAACAGCCATCACCATAGTATAAAAGCTCTAACCTAAACTTTAGTGTATGTTTCATCCATCTTCATTTGTATTTATGCAACTATTACCTAGCATTTTATTGCTTCAACTTCCTGAAACAGTGAAGAAATATGATTTCAGATAGTCCTCACTTAAAAAAACACATTTAGGACTAGCAACTTCATTGCAAAGATAATGAGACATCACATGACCACAACAGAGTTGTAACATTTCTTCCACTGCAGTCATTAAGCAAATCAATAGTCATCAAAAGAGATGTCACATCAAGAGAGATGTATGACTTGTGTTGTTGCTGGTTTTTCCACTGATTCAGCTTGTCAGAAACCAATTGTGAAACACACAAATTATAATCATGTGACTGGACGAAATTACAATGATTATAAACAACCACCAGTTATGAACTGCCTGAATCTCAATCACGTGACCTTGGAGATGCTATGAGAGACATAACTGTAAGGACTGGTCATAAAGTTATTTTTTCAATGCAACTGTAATTTTCAGGACCAGACAAAGCAATCATTAAGTGAAGCCTAGGTGTACATGCTTGAGAAAATTTATATTGATTATCATCTCCATTCAAAAGATTCTCTACAAATTCACTTTAATAAGACTAGGTTTCTAGACATCCCTTAGAAACCATCAGAAAAGATTGGATTGATCAATTTCCAAACTACAGTGGTCTTCTAGTTCTGTATAGGCTCAGAGTTAGAGTCTAAAATATATGATGTCATGATTTGTCTGTAAAAGTGGAATAAATAAATTCCATCTAAATTTGTCCAGCAGAAATTATCAAGCCTAAAGAATGATCTATTGATATATAAACACAATAACAGCCCAGTATTAATTCTATGAAAATGAAATCCTTGATGTTGATGTCTTCAGAATTTAAAATCTGGGAATTATAACGCTAAATCCCAATAAATGATTAAGATTTTAAAATGTTATCTGCATGCTACTGTACACTAACAGAATCAATTTAGTAATGTGATTTAGGTGCTGAACTAGAAATATGAGATCACGAATTCTAGCCCCCCCCCCCTTAGGCATGAAAGTCAGTTTGAAGGCCAGTTATTTTTCACTCAACCCAATCCACTTTACAGGATTGTTGGAGGGGGAGATAGGGAAGCAGGATGATTTCTGGAATTGTACAAAATAAAGACAGGATATAAATCTAATAAATATATAGAGCTTCTATGCTCTTTTAACTCTCCAGGTCCAGAAAAAAACACTCAAAATCAAGATCTTACAAGGAAGTATATCTCAAGAAAAAAAACAAAATTGTTTGAAAAGCCCAAACAATTATCTGCATTTTGATAACAACCCCATATTTATTTTTAATTAAAAAGTATGAAGACATCACTAAGGAAAAGAAATTTCCAAACTATAAACCAAGCGCACTAACAGATATATATCTAAATAATAGGATAATTATTATTTTTTTACATATCACCTTAATCTATAGCAATAGCCCTTCCAATCCCAATATTGACTTACTCTGTGTGAAACTATCACCAGCTAAGAGAAACATCAAAAGTGAAGTGAGCACTGAATTGATCCATGGATAAAAAGAAGAGATTTTGAAAATTTCCAGTTTTTTTAAATTGAAAAGACCAACCTACAAAGGTGTATATCAGAATTGTTCTAAGTTCACAAAAATATCAGAGCAGAATTCATTGTAAAGACAAACATTAGCTTAACATAAAAAACCCCAAACTGCATAATGAAAGAGACAATAATTTTCAGATCCATTGTACTATAAAAAAAATAGTTTTAGAATTCATTCATCTTAAATCGTGTTACAAACAAAAGACTGAGAGCAATATAGAAAGTTCAAATCTATAAGGAACTTAATAACTATTATTTCCCAATAAAATGAAAGTTGCTATTACTGTATTTCCAAATAAAATGAAATAGCAAAGCTGTATAAAAAAATTATCAAACTCTCCAATATAAAATATTAAATTCATACTATATGTTATATATAAAGACCAAAATCTAAAATATTATGTAACTATATCTTTAGTAAAAATTAACAGGACCATTAAATTAAATTAAAGATTTTAAGCCATTATCAAAATATATTTTAATTTTTTTAAACATTGAATGTAATATATTTAAGGAAAGTGTTTGCTGATTAAGCTCAGTGTTGATCTTGTACATAGGCAGCATCTAAAACTGTTAAATTATTCAGTATTTATATAAGTTTTTACAGAATCCATATCTGCTATTTAACTATTTAAACAACTGAAGAATTGTTTTAGGATTGACAACTTACAAGCATGGAATAAAAATGTTTAATACAGTATATTATCTAAACAAATTCATCAAAAACAATTTTTATATTATTGGACACACCAACAATTTTTAAGATATGTCAATTTTTTATATTTGAATGTAATAAAATTGAAATAACTTTCATATCCATGATTTGGACTTGCTCTTTGGTTGTCCCAGTTTAGTTTAATATCTGTATTTTTATCATTATGTGCTGAGAAGGGAATTGATAAATTTATATCTAAAGACATGAATGTATTGTTTAACTACATTAAACATACAGTAACAGTATTACTGAAAAACTTAAACTTGTCAACTTAACTCTGAGGAGATCACACTTGATAAAAATGTGCAGTTGGAAAAAAGGTATAACTTCAGGGATAAAATTCTGTACTTTTGTACTATCAGCCCGTAAAGTGATTTGAAAAATATTTCAATAGCAAAAATGCTATTATTATTGAAAGTTAAGAACCACACCTGTATACTGAACTAAATTATATATGATATTTCTTAGGCATGAGGTGAAAACGTAGTTCTAGCTGGAAAAGATTCTAAAGGAGTTGTTCATTACTGAAATATATGATTTTTCATGATACTATTTTACTACATTATCAGTATTTAATATTTACCCCTTTAAACGTCGCTTCTTCATTTCAGAAGAATCCTTACGTTTTGCCACATCTTTGAAATCAACCTTCGAAAAAAATATATAATCAATTTCTGCATATTTGCATAGAAGAAGCTTGGAAAATTTCCTTTACCTTAATGTATCATATCTACTTATGAACTATTATCAAAGCCTCATCAAAGTGAATATTCTAAGATTATTTGATACCATTTGTCCGAAGATATAAATTCTTTTGCCTTGAAAAGGGGCTTAGACTAGAAAATCACCAAGGTACCTTCTAGTCCTATGATTCTATCTTCAGATTTCATTTTGGCAAAGAATATTAATTATGAATCCTATATATTGATTATTTGTGAACAAATTAATGTGAGCCTTTATTTGTATATTGTTAAGAATTGAACTTTCTTCCCTATTTAAGTGTTTTTGGAAAATGATGAATCAAAATATTCAAGATTGTAAATAATTTTAAATTTTTATTTTTTAGATATTTGAAAAAAGAATTTCTTTTCTTCCTTTTTCTTAGAAAGGAAACTTAATGTTTACATTTTCTCCTGCTGAGATTCAGGGGACATTGGAAGTTTCAAAATACAATCAAATGTATGGCAGAACAGATTATAATCTAAGTTATTAATATTAACATGCAAAGGATATGGTGAAAAGCAACTTGGGTAATTTTAAGTGTTTTTCCTGACATATTGCAAAGAAAAATTTTCTGAATGTAAAGAGAGACTCCACATTGCAGCACCAATTTTCTTTGGAATAAAAGAATCAAACCTATCCAAAATAACCTTGCAAGATGTAGTCTCAACAAATATTTGGTCTTGTCCAACATCAGTCTCAGAATGGACCTAAGTAGTTTTATTTTCCAGATTCTTAGAAAATTCTTCACGGCAGTCTTTTAAATATTCATCCCATCTATCCTTTCCCAATAAGGTCATGTGTAATGTGATAAGATGTAATAAAGAACATAGAAATACTGGTGTTTCATGACTTTTATCATCATAGTGTAGACCCAATCATAAATTCTAACACAACTAGTCAGATATACTTCTACTTTTATGTCTGAAGCCCTATGGATATCTCTTGGTTCATTCTCTAGAGCTTCTTAGTAAGTAAAATAAACATTCTGAATCAGAAAAAAATGCTTTTGAAACTTTTGCCTAAATGCAACTGTCCACTGCTAATTTGGAAAACTTATAAGTAGCCTCTGGGATCTAAGCAATGTTATTACTGTATATATTTGGAAAAAAAAAATCCTTGTAAACCAATGTAGAACACAGTGTCACAATCTATTAATCTGAAGGGTGGATCATTAATAAATTGGTCTTATTCTCTGACTAATAAAGGAAGTTACTATCTAAGCTATTTCTTCTGAACAGAAACATGGCCCTATTAGCTAACATCCTGTATGATCTCTTGGTTAACATGACATCAAATTTTGCTCAGATATCATCCTCTAAATTTTGGAATACAAAGACTTAGATTAGAAACCTAATGACTGATATGCCTTAAAGCTGAAATGCAGGTTCAAAATAGAGTCCTAAACAAAGTTCCTTTTTTTAAAAGTAGTTCTCAACTTACAACCATAATTGAGCCCCACTAAGTGATACAGTTGTTAAGTGACTTTTACCCAATTTTACAGCCTTTCTTATCATAGTTGTTAAGTGAACCACCACAGTTATTAATACGGCTGTTAAGTGAATCTGGCTTCCCCACTGACTTTGCTCGTCAGGAGGTCCTAAAAGGTGATCAGATGACTTCAGGACGCTGCAACAATCATAAATATGAACCGGCTGTCAAGTGTCTGAATTTTGATCATGTAACCAGGGGATGCTGTAGTCAAGTGTGGAAAATGGTTAAATCACTTTTTTCAAAGTCCTTGCAACTTTGAATAGTCACTAAACATATGATTGTAAGTCGGAAACTATTGTATTTTGCTAGCTCAGATTCATTTGGTGCAAAGCATTAGCAACAGCATTGCTTACCATCTCAGTTTTTATTTTCCCAGATTCTTCCTTTTTTTTATCAGTATCCTCAGATTGGGAAGGGTGTTTTAAAAGCTTTTCCGTAACACCAGCTGATCCTTTTTGTTTAGAAAGTTCCTGACTTTTTCGAGGAAGCATTTCACTTGTTTTTCCTGTGTCGATTTTTTGTAATTTGGGGGTTGTTTTTTCTGTTCCACTAATAGGTACCTCTTTTAAATCATCTCCTTTAACTTTCCCTTTTGAGGCTTTCTTGACTTTCTTTGGTACCTCTTCCACACCTGCTGATAAAGGGAACTGCCAGTCTGGAATAGTTGGAGGTATTTCAGCAAGTTGAATCTTTGCCTTTTCAACGTCCTGTATTTTTTTTAAAGTTAAATACATAACAATTTTATCAAGTTTCACAGTCTTTAAACTTGAAATTTTCAACACAGCATTCCAAAAATGTGATGGTAATGATAGACATATAATCCTCTCCTTGTGCTAATTTATAAATATAAATTATAAAAAAATATAGAAAAATATTTTGTCCTTTGCCTCTAATTCCTTGCTGGGCCTTTGTTATCAGATTTCTATTCTGATTGAATAGCTAACTATTGTAAATACCTCCACACTTTCTACCCAGAGAGAAAACAAAGAGCTGACAGTGACCTCTTGGTACTATGCACCAAAATCCTATCTGTCAAATGTTCACAAGTTTATTATCTTCCACCAGTTTTTTTTTTATATATCATGGAGGGAAACTCCAGAACTGCTTAATGTCTCTTTAAATCTTATTGCAAAATACAAGGGGATAAGATGGACAGTCCCCAGTTACAGGATTTTCTGCCAACAATGCTGGAATTTCCCAGACATATGATTTTGAGGGTCTTCAAGAAATATTTTCTGGAGGTAAGGTCTGAGGCAACTCAGGGTTTCATGGCTATCATGACAGCCATGAGCCTATTCTAGGTCATCCAAATTCCAACCCAGGACAATGGTCATCTACTTATCTGGTTTTCCTTTCACTACTGTCCACTGCAAGCAGGTAGGATTTAAACTGGTTAGTCCTCAGTGATAAATGAACCCTAATGGATTTCAGAGGGAACCAGGGGCTATTCCTGTTGGTCTGCCTGAAGCCTTGGTTGCCACTTGGAACAAGAGGCTCACCAAGGTCTTAGATCAGATCATGCCTAGTTGATCTTTCCTCTCTTCTAGCTCCCATCATTCCCTCTTTCACAGAAGAGCTAACAGAGATGGAAAAAAAGAAGAAATCTCCAGAGATACCAGCACAGTGAAGGATGAACTCAATCTATTATAGATTAGAACTACTATGAGGACCTAATGGCAGTAAGGGCAAGGAAGGGACAATACTTCTTATTACATGTGCAGATAGCCGTCTGATGGCCTTGTTTTATGTGATACATGACCTCTTGGATAAGGAAGATCATCTTATAAGACTATACAGAAGAATTTGCTCAGCATCTGTCAGACAGTTGCTCACATTTATTCTAAGTTGGACACTGGCTTTGTTAAAGGTCCTATGTCTGGGAACAGTTTGAATCAGTTGGGCCTGAGGGAGTCGGGAGACTCTTTCTGGCTATGAACTCAGCCACCAGCTCTTTGAACTCATGCCCTTTCTGGATAACTAAAACTGTCTGATTCTGACTCTGAAGAAGCTACTCCAGCTGAAACTGTGGAATATCAACCTTGTGAGAAAAACAAGCAGGAATCACTTTGACGTTGATCAAAATAGGTACTATCAAAACAGCTGGAGCAGTCAAATGACAAGGCATAGCCCTCAAGATCTCAGACCTGGTGAGTAGGGTAGAAAGGAAAATAAAGATGCTCAATCTCCATGCCAAGCAAAGGAATAACTAACCTAATTAAAGTTAGTAGCCTGATTTAAGAGGCAGATCTGGCCTGTTTCGTTTATTTTATTTATTTATTTATGAGACTTATATACCGCTTTAAGTGCAAGCACTCTCTAAGCAGTGTACACCAGTAAGCAATGTATATATATATTTACATTGCCCCCAACAATCTGGGTCCTCATTTTACCTACCCCGGAAGGATGAAGGCTGAGTCAACCTTGAGCCGGTGAGATTTGAACCGCTGACCTGCTGAACACAGTCAGCTAAAGTGGCCTGCAGTACTGCACTCTAACTGCTGCGCCACCTCGTGTCTGATATCATCCTTGTGAATCCTGATTGTGAAACTCTGACCTTTCAACTTGCTGACAAACCTGACTTGGCTCTCTGAACTTCAGACTGGATTTTTGACTTCTCTCCTGCATATTCCTGTTGAAAATTAAACTATACAAGAAGTTTTTTTTCTAAGAGTTTTTTTAATTTACATTATTTTCCTTCTCTATTATTATCTTCTTAGCCTTAAGTAAATTCTTTGCTCACCTAGCGTGTGTGTGTGTGTATATGCGAGAGAGAGAGGGGGAGGAGGGATCAATGGAAGCCCTTAACTTTTTTTTTATAAAGAAGTTTTATTAGTTTTTTAATTTTTATATCATCCAAAGACAAAGTCATATATATATATAACTCAAATTAATTCATTAAATGTTCCCTCTCTATTTCCCTCAAATAGTATAACATATTTAGGTTAATCCGTTTCTACATTACATCTATGTAAATCCAAATCCTGTTTTTAAGCTTTACTAATTTACAATTACCATAATCCAATTTAATCTTAAATAAACATATTATTAGCACTTCGGATATCCCTTCTATAACAGACATAATATTCTGACAATAACATTCTAATATTTCCAGATATATTCTAATTCTTACTCTAATAAGACATTGATTAGTACCAATTCTTCTCTTATCACAAATCTCTCTTATTTCTTCTTCCACTACAAAATAGTTATCCTTCTTAAAATAAAAATATTACTCTACTCTATTTTAAATATATAATCTATCAGTGAATCTATTTCTATAAAAAAAATGATTTCAGCCCATTAGGTAAGATTTAAATCTCGTCCAAATAATTATCATATCTAAAACAAGCATATTGTTACCCAAAATATCATCTTGCTAACTTCACATACTCAGTTAATTGTTAAATCAGTCCAGATCTCTAAAGCCTTTTTAACCCATTAAGTAAAATTTTAAATCACATTTTTAAATCAAACTCTAGCTTTCTTTCTGTGCCAGGCCGGTTTCCATAATACCGCATCTGTATCCTCAAATCTCAGTATTTGAGTACAGGTAATTCTCTTCCCTTTCTTCCAGTATCATCTGGATAGTATAGTCAATTTTGTTCCATGTTGTAGTTACTAGTTGATTATCCAGATTATCACGGCTTTCAATAGATCACATCTGAAAGTCAGTTCCTGTTGTTTTTAAGACTGCAAGTATTTCAGTTGAAGTCATTCTTTGATCATCAGAGTTCTCCATAATTTGGACATAGGCTTGTGAAATATCCTCTTCTATAGTGATTAGTTGACTTGTGGAATGATCAATTAGAGTCTCAGTTTGAGATTTTAAGTCAAGCGTTTTTCTAGAGCTCAATTGATCAGTAGCTTCTTCCTCCATCTCTTTAAATTGTGTGCACTGTTACACTAGCCTCTTTAAAGCTAGTCTGTTCCTCCTTTATTGTTCCTTAGCCTATAGGTTGGTCCATTAAAAATTGAAATTCATTTTGTTCTGCAAAATTATCTTTAATTTTTCTCCAAGATTTCATGTACCTGTAGCTTCCACGATTTTTTCCAATATAAGCTCATAATCAAGCTCTGGGTAAGATTCCTCCATTTCCATGATAAAATAGCCTTTAGTAGAAACTATATTTATTAGAAGTCAACAAATATCCATCTCTACAATTTCTAGTAAGCAAATTCAGCCCACAGCTGCTTCAAGGCCTTTATCTTTTCCCTTTTATTATATTTGAAGGTCAAATCCATCTTCAAACACCAAGAGAAAGTACAATTGCAGTAATACTTTTTACCACAAGATATCCTCAGTAGGCTGTAAAATCTTTTTTCCCCCAGTTAATTTTTTTATCTCATTAGGAAAATAGAAAAAAAAGCAAATATCTCCAGCATAGTAGCTAAAATAATAATAATAATGTTCTATGATAAGGATTTTTTCAGGGCCCCAAAATATCCCCAAAATTAAATATCCAATAAAAATTTACTGTTTTATAGTTTTATTCAAAGCTTTTTTTCCCAAGTAAACAAACGCCGCTCTCTTAGGGCAGGGAAATCATTCAGAGGCTTTTTACAGGAAAATAGTTGGGGCTAAGAGAGGGAAGGAAAGGTCTCACCCGAATTTCTCCATGATGGTTCTTCATGCTTAGCTGTTCTTCTGATTTTCGGCTGGTGCAGCTGGATGATCGGCCATTTTACTGGCCGATCTTTTCTCCGACGGCTCTAAGGAGCAAGCTCGGACCGCGGAAGGAGCTGCCACCCTTCTGCAGTCAACGAGGGCCTCCTCGATGGTGGTCACTCCTCCAGGGCGACTTTTCGATCCGATTAAGAGTCTACTGGCGGAGGAAAAGCAGCCAGTGAAGAGACGGAGCTTGCCGCACAACTGCACATGCCGCAACCGGAGGTCCCCTTAACTTGTTTTTAATGCAACTAGATGGTTCTGTCTGGGGGTGATAGGAGACAGTAACACCTAAAGTGTATTGCTTATGTCCAGTATACTCCATAATCTGATTTTGTAAAACAGAATAGAGCTGGAAGGGACCTTGGAGATCTTCTAGTCCAGCCCCCATTCAAGCAGAAGAACCTATACTGTCTCAGAAGGTGAATGTCTAGTCTTTTTTTAAAATCTCCAGTGATGGAGTGCCCACGATTTCTGAAGGCAAGCTGTTTTGCTGGTTAATTGTCCTCACTGTCAGGAAGTTTCTTCTTAATTCTCTCTTTATCAGTTTCCAACCATTGTTTCTCGACCTTCCCTCTGGTGCTTTGGTGAACAACCTGGCCCTCTCTGCATTGTGGCAGTCCCTCAGATACCAAAACATGGCTATCATATGGTGTAAGACAGAACCTTGTGGTACCCACTGCTTACTTTTCTCCATGTGGATGTAGTGCCATTAAGGACTACTCATTGAGTACAGTTTGTCAGCCAGCTACAGATCCATCTAGTGATGATGTTGTCTATTCCACCTTTCCTAGCTTACCAAGGAGAAGGTTGTGGTCTATTTTGTCAAATGCTTTACTGAAATCTAAGTATACTACGTCCACTGCGCTTTGCTGGTCTACTAGTTTAGTCACTTTATCAAAGAATGAGATAAGATTGGTTTGGCATGATATGTTTTTAACAAACCTGTGCTGGCTACGAGTTATGACTTTGCTTGCTTCTAGTTGTTCACAGATCTGTTTTTTGATAATCTTTTCTAGGATCTTCCCAGGTATTGATGTT